TGACCACACTTGCCACCTCCTGCGCCTCAAAAATAATAAGACCTCCCCAAAAATAAGGCCAAGTGCTTATTTGGGGAGTCAAAAGAAAATAAAACCTTGTCTTATTTTCAGGGAAAGACGTTGTTGTCATTATTGTTATTTATTATATAAAAAAAGAAAAATAAACATTTATCTACTTTGAATCATTCATGGCCCATATTAATATAAACAGCCAGAGAGAAAAATTAAGACTACATTCTACAACTACAGAGTATAGAGGATGACCTTGAGAGAGGGGGGAGGGGAGACTTGTTACCAAGATAACAAATAGAAGAACATGGCTTAAGCCCATATATGAAGAGAGAAAATGCTCCTTCTTGGTTTGGTCTATCCTGTAGGATGATCAACAATCACAGTGAATAGGAAACATTTTATTTTATAAAGTACATGCTTTCAGTAGGCAAATTATCTCCATCTTCAACTTCTTCTCTATTTGAAGCTCCTTACAGCTTCATCTCAAATCCCCCTTGGTAAAAATCAGAAGCATGATATAAATTCTCTCTGAAACATCAAACTAAGTTGTTTGATGGGAATAGATAATAGGCATATTCATTACAAAGTCCTTTGATTGCAGTTCAAGTTAATGCTTTGTAATATACCTAATGATTAATCTGAAGCCATTCCCTATATATATTGTATCAGTCAGTTTGTTCCAAAGTAGATCATTTCTTCTAGTGAGAATATCATAATAGGGTAAAGTTTCTTTGCTTGTGCATGTATTTATTTAGTTAATAATTTAGTTACTTATTTATTTATAAAATTTATTGGCCGCCACTTAATATGAAAACTGAGATCAAGAAAGCAATGAGATTATCTGATATCATCCAATCTTATGGCTGCTAAATATAAAGAATGGGTGGGAGGGAGGGAGTTCTCTTTACTACATCAGTTAAGATAATATTCCATGTTGATGTGCTGGAAGGATTGATCCATGAAACTTGTTTTACACCCACAAACAAAGGGAAGGAGGGGGAGGGAGAGGGAGAGATTGATTGTTTGTTTGGTTGATTGATTGATTAAGAGAGCCGAGGTGGCGCAGTGGTTAAATGCAGCACTGCAGGCTACTTCAGCTGACTACAGTTCTGCAGTTCGGCTGTTCAAATCTCACCGGCTCAG